TAAGAAAATTAGAATATATAATAATCAATATATTATATTTTTTTAATTTTTTTTATCATCTTGTTTGTATTAAGTTAATATATTATATTACTAGAGATATATTTTAATTATATTTTGAAATATTATAACTGATTAATTTTTCAAGTTACCATTTTTTGCTTATTTTATATTTTTCATCAACTGGTTTTGTCAAACATGATTTGTTCATCAACTAGCTTATCTAGCTTTACTACCAACTACCAACCTCTAATGTAGCCTTATCTCCACTAGAAAATACTCTATCTCATTGACCGATGTCCTGATATAGCTAAGTCATTGTTGTCACATACACGTCATGTATTGCCGTGACGTACAACCACAATACCCCTTTATCCTTCAAGTTCTGCCACATAACATCGTAGAGATACGTTGTCTCAATTGCACCCTCCCAAACATGAAGCTGAATTGGTTTTTATCACCATTATTTCAAGACATCGATATCCAAAAGAAATTGTAACTAGTTCTTGAAACGATTATTTTAATTACAAAAGGTTATTATATTTTTATTTAAATGTATAAGATTATATATTTTTGACGTATAATTTTTAATAGAGTTTTGACTAATTAATCCGATGAATTTTCATATCTGAGTTTATGAGTCAAGTTTATTGAACAAAAACAGTTAATGTAGAATGAAAATTATATATCGATTTTATGTGCTAAATTAATTATTTATAAACTTTTTTTTGTTAGAATTAGGGGTGAGCAGCAGAACCGGGTACCCACTTGTTGAACCGAAACTGCTGGTTTCGGAACCGGAACCGGAACCGATATGAGTGGTTCCGGTTCCTAAAATATGAAACCGATTGAGAATGGTTCCGGTTCTCAATTTTTTTGAACCGTTACCCTCCAGGACCGGTTCCAAGACTGGGTACCCGGAACCGGCGGGTACCCTGAACCAGAATTGGCGGGTACCCAGTATTTTTCAATAAAAAATAATAATAAATTTTTTTAATATTAAATTTAAATTAAGTCAAGAACTTAGAACTCTAGATTCAAAATTTGAGATAAAATGATTCGTATTGTGGGTTTAATTAAATTCGTAATATGTAATCGTTAAACTCAACATTTACAATTATAGTATGTAATCGTTAAACTTTCAACATTTACTATTAGTCTATTATGGTTTGTAATCGTTAAACAATATTTGTAACCATTATTCCTTATAATTTGTATTCTTATTTATTTATTTATTTATTTAGT